CCTGCTGAATACTGCGTGGTTGCTCCGGACACAGAGATTTTCTGTGAGGGAGAGCCAGTAAAGCGGGAGGATGAAGAAAGGCTCGATGAAGTTGGTTATGATGATGTTGGTGGTGTCAGGAAGCAGATGGCTCAGATTAGAGAATTGGTTGAGCTTCCCTTGAGGCATCCTCAACTATTCAAATCAATTGGTGTGAAGCCACCAAAGGGAATTCTGCTCTATGGACCTCCTGGTTCTGGTAAGACTTTGATTGCCCGTGCTGTTGCTAATGAAACTGGAGCATTCTTCTTCTGTATCAATGGACCCGAGATCATGTCCAAACTTGCTGGTGAGAGTGAGAGTAACCTGCGGAAAGCATTTGAGGAAGCTGAGAAGAATGCCCCGTCTATTATTTTCATTGATGAGATTGATTCTATTGCGCCGAAGAGAGAGAAGACAAATGGAGAGGTTGAGAGGAGGATTGTCTCCCAGCTCCTTACCCTTATGGATGGGCTCAAGGCTCGTTCTCATGTCATCGTCATTGGAGCAACCAACCGTCCCAACAGCATTGACCCCGCTTTGAGACGTTTTGGAAGATTCGACAGGGAGATCGATATTGGTGTTCCTGATGAAGTTGGACGTCTTGAAGTCCTCAGAATCCACACAAAGAACATGAAGCTGGCTGAAGATGTAAAATTGAATTCTTATCCTGCTCGTTTACTTATGTTCCCCGGTGTATGTCTATTGGATCTAAACTCTGTGCAATCTTTTGTCATTCAGGTTGATCTTGAAAGGATTTCCAAGGACACACACGGTTATGTTGGTGCTGATCTTGCAGCTCTGTGCACAGAGGCTGCCCTTCAATGCATCAGGGAGAAGATGGATGTGATCGACTTGGAAGATGACACCATAGATGCTGAGATCCTCAACTCAATGGCAGTGACCAACGAACACTTCCAGACTGCACTTGGAAACAGCAACCCATCTGCTCTTCGTGAAACTGTGAGTGTTGGAAATGTGCTTCTTTTGAGTCAGAGCTGTTCTCATCGCTTTTGGTACCTAATCATTTTACTTTACAGGTTGTTGAGGTGCCCAATGTCTCTTGGGAAGATATCGGAGGTCTTGAAAACGTCAAGAGAGAGCTTCAGGAGGTATTGTATTGCTATCACCACATCTTATTGGAACTGATAGTCATGTGCTTATTGATAAGTTCACCAGAGACTAATCATCAATGCTTTATTTATGTGCATTGCAGACTGTCCAGTACCCTGTGGAGCATCCCGAGAAGTTTGAGAAGTTTGGAATGTCTCCGTCAAAGGGAGTCCTCTTCTACGGTCCTCCTGGATGTGGAAAAACTCTTCTGGCCAAAGCAATTGCTAACGAGTGCCAGGCAAACTTCATCAGTGTCAAAGGTCCTGAACTTCTCACAATGTGGTTTGGAGAAAGTGAGGCCAATGTGCGTGAAATCTTCGACAAGGCCCGTCAGTCTGCCCCTTGTGTTCTGTTCTTTGATGAGCTCGACTCTATTGCCACTCAGGTTTGTAACAACAACACGCTTGTGTTCTTCATAAGGCCAATGACCCTTTTTCTATCGCTAAAAGCTTGTCTATTCTGTTATTTTGGTTTTTTCCAGAGAGGTAGCAGTGTGGGAGATGCAGGTGGGGCTGCGGATAGAGTGCTGAACCAACTCCTTACCGAGATGGATGGAATGAACGCAAAAAAGACGGTCTTTATCATCGGAGCCACCAACAGGCCGGACATCATAGATCCGGCACTCCTCCGTCCTGGAAGGCTGGACCAGCTCATCTACATTCCCCTTCCGGACGAAGAATCCCGTCTGCAGATCTTCAAGGCATGCCTGAGGAAATCGCCCGTGGCTAAAGATGTGGACATCAGGGCACTTGCCAAGTACACCCAGGGTTTCAGTGGTGCTGATATCACCGAGATCTGCCAGAGGGCCTGCAAATATGCCATCAGAGAAAACATCGAGAAGGTATAGAATACGATCGATTCATTCATTAGGGACATGTTGAACTGAATCAGAGAAGAAAGGCAAAAGTTCTAATGAGAACGGTTTGTTTTGTGCACAGGACATTGAAAGGGAGAGGAGGAGAGGGGAAAACCCGGAGGCGATGGAGGAAGACGAAGTGGACGAAGTGGCGGAGATCAAAGCGGCACACTTTGAGGAGTCGATGAAGTACGCAAGGAGAAGTGTGAGCGATGCAGATATCCGCAAGTACCAAGCCTTTGCCCAGACTCTGCAGCAATCGAGAGGCTTTGGGACCGAGTTCAGGTTCTCCGAGGCTGCTCCCTCCACCGCCGGAGGAGGAGGAGGAGCCGACCCTTTTGCCACGTCGGCAGCTGGGGCTGCTGACGATGACGACCTCTACAGTTAATTTATTCAGTCGAACGTCTCTCTGTTATCTGTTAAGACAAAAACGTTTTATGACGTTCTCCTCCCAAGTTAATATCTGAACTCAGAACTCGCGCTCTGTCAGACATTTCCTTCTTGTGTCTGCTTTTTTTAAATGCATAGACAGATTCCTTTGAACAGCTTCAGATTTTACTGCCGTTTTCAGTTCTCTCTCTCTGAGTTCAATGTCTGAAGCGTAGAAGTGGGTGAAACGATGTGAACTGAGTCCGAAAACTGTCGCAGTCGTGCAAAAGTAGGCTCGTGCAATGCCAAACAAGAGCACATTTTTGCTTATTGTAACATAAAAACTAGCTTTATTCAATCTGTTTCCCAGAATGTCCGTGAGTGAAATTTTTACGTATATAATAGATAATATGGTGTGGCTTTTGTTCTGTATACCGAAGGCTTTCTCTCTCTCGGTTAGCAGTAAATGCTCCAAAACTGGTTAGTTGCCGAAATGCCACCATTTCTTCTTTTTCTGAAGGTCCGGCGAGGAAGAAGAAGAAGACAACGACTTAGTAGTCTCTGCCCATCAAAAACCCGACAAAGGAGGTTATGCAGATGAAGAAGAAGACAAAACCCAGTTGCTTGTTTCTAATCTAATCTAACAAGTCACCAAAAGTCACCTCTTTCAGTGTAGATGGAGTTGTAATGTACCTCTGCCCAGAAGCTCAAGAAAATCACTGCAAGAAATATATACATATATATATAGCATCATATCATCAGTCTAACAACTTCATTTTCCGATTAAACAGACTTTTGGAAAGCATTTTATCCAAAATAAATGTCTCTTACCTCTCCTGTAATCTTGGGACTTGGGGAGAATCTCAATGTAACATGTATCCTTAAATGATGTCATCACCAGTATCTTCACTCGATACTGCATGAAAAAAAAAGTTTTCTTTTCCTTTAGTATAACAATATCTCCATACGTTTGTAAGGAGAGTTCAACGACCATAGACATATATATATGTATATATATACCGTATCAGCTGCTGCCTGCAATGTAACATGATCACCCCATTCCCCACTCCTGTTTCCCATTTAATCACATAAGGGTGTTAGTGAATCAGTTATATATACGTGTTTTTCAGGACAGGAGAACGGGTAGGAAGTTTGAGAAGAAGAGATTTACCGAGACAACTTCTTCAGGTACTCAGTATAATCCATCGGGACATATCCTTCATACGACTCCCGACAAGACTTAAGCTGGTGGCCCGAGTGTTAAGAAGAATGTCAAAAAGGGAATACAAAGGTGGGTTAAAAGAGTTTCAAAATGATCATCATCTATAGATTTCTTAAGATCAGAGTATCACCTGATTCACTATTTCTCGTCTCACTTGTTTATGGCGTTCTGGGTTATTGTACAGTTGATCTGACAAAGCCCGGAACTGAAAACAGAAGCATCGGAGTTAAAAAAGATCGTAAAACCTCTGCTTCTTACAAGATAGTAGTTCGGAGAGAAAGTACCTGGCAGTTACCATCTCCTTGAACCTTGACCTCCGAAAATCCATATGTCTCCAATCTGGAGGTTGTGGATGAACGGAAGTGAAAAACACGTAATAAGCATATCATCGGGCTAACGAACAACAAAGAAGATATACCTATTCAAAAGTCTTTCGTGATCTGTAACTGCTTCATCTTCTGAAGGTATTTCCCCATTAATCTTTGGTACATGCTGCAGAAAACAGGAGTGAATTCGGTGTCATATGCTACCAAGAACAACCACAAGACACATATAAGCAACTTAGTGAAACATACAGATGCGTGTGTGTATCTATTTACCGGAATAGAGTTCAATTGATTCAGTCTTCTTCCAACTTCGCCATCAAGATCATTTAGATCAGTTGGTTCCCATGAATACCGATATTCTTCCGTGTCACTTGGGCTTGAACACGGATAGATATTGACCGAATCATCGCTTCTGTCATGATCATTATCATTTCCAAACCATTCTACAACACAAACAGACATCTGTATCATATCCACCATATATACACAGCAGTGAAAATGATCAAAGGAACACGAAAATTCATAAACCTGAGGAGTAATTCCCAGTTGGTTGGTCATTCCAGACGAAAGCGGTGGCAGATGCATTTGAATAACCACCTTCTTGGCTATGAGAGTATTCCTTGTTGTTTTCCTCGACCTCAAACGGCAAATAATCATCCTGGAGAGTCCGAGCAATCATCTCATCGCTATCCACATTGCTGCTGCGATGAGCAACCTCGTGATCTTTATAATGCTCTTCGGGCTGCTGAATATTGATACAGCCATAATCTTGAATGATCTCGAGGTTGTAAGGAGGGTATGAAGTGTATGGCGGAGGACTAAGAAACCAATCAACAATACTCTGATGATTCTCTTCGTGTGAGACCATCTTCGAAGATTGCAACTACACAGAAGAAATCAGACAACAGAGAAAGCAAAAATCAGACAAGGAATCGATTCCATGTTGACTATCGGGAGAATGGATCCGTGATCTCTGTCATAGAGTATCAAGAACGAATCTTTATCATGAACAGATCCATGCCCTTGTACTCCTACATCCCAAGTTGGAGAATTTCTCAGTTTTACTAATCTGTGGTTGATTTTTTCCTCGAGAAAAATTCTTGGGTTTATCTCTATTTTTTTTCCTGGAAATCAAACGGTGACAAGATCGTTGTCACGGTGGCGTGAATATCGGAAGTCTTCTGATGTGGACAGAAAATCCAACAATGGAGACTTGTCTGAGAAAGATGAAGAGATTTTCTCGCATTTTCTCACAAGTGCCGCAAAACCAAACTCATATCAATGTCATCACCCAAAGCAAGGAAGATCCAAATTCGTTCACGTTGAATGGGCAAAAGCGAAATTCATGCCAAACCCAGAAAACATCTAGAAGGAGACTTAGTTTGAACACAAAGAAGAAGAAGAAGACAATCGAATCCACCGCGAAATTTCGGCGACCCGGGAATAAAATATTCAATTATACACACACACACATACATATATATATATATATATATAAAGATTACAAACCGACCTAGATAATCAAATCCGCTAAAAAGATAATCGAACCCAATATTTTCCAGAAAATATGCAAAGATGATGACTATCATGATGACCAAAAGCTCACCTTTTCACCTGCAAAGTCTCTGCAACTCAAAACACCAACTTGTTTTTACTAAAAATGGAAACTTTTTAGAGTTTCGGGAACGAACATATCAAATTTACGCAGGAATGATTCGTAATTCGAATGGGCTTTCACTTTTAGCCGATGATTAAGAAGAAAAGGATCGACGGATGCTTCGAATCCAAAATAAAGTTGCTCCCTTTTTTTTTCTTTCGAGGAACCCAGAAACAAAAAAAAACATGAGGAACGAGAAAACACACACATATACATATATACGTATATAAGGTTCGGGCGATTGCTATTATGTCACGAGTCACGAGCTCTCACAGCCGTTGGATCATTAAATTTGAACGGCCACGATTATTCAGCACAAATTTATGCTACAAAGGGAAAATAACAATTACAGTACAAAATCAAATAATATATGATCTTTATAATTTTATTATGCGATTTATTTCACCCCACCATCCCAAATTTTCAAAAATTTCCGGTTTAAAGAAATATCATATGTCGGGGAAAAGGAAATGTTATCATATTAATTGTTTGAAGTCACGTCCTTTTATAAATTACTTTTTTCAAACATTGTTAAAAGAATTACTAAAAATAAAAGTTTGAATACTAAAATAACAAAAAAAAAAATTCAAATTACTATAGCATCTATATCATAGAATTAGTTAATATCTATAAAATAATTATAACACTAAAAAAATAGATTAATCATTCATATATATATATGGTAAGAGAATCTGTTGATTCGACGAGAAAAAGAAATTAAATATGTGATCTTATTTAGAAACAATTGATTGATACCAAACAGTGTGTGTGTATATATATATATATATATGTATATACAATGGAGTATTTACTTGGTCCGTTTTCTGAAATTTCAGTAATGACGTTTCATGGAAGTAGATGAAGGAGCATTAATTTCATTATTTAGGATTAGGCTAAAAAGTTGAAATTGTTTATAACAAGAACGGTCCACATCCACATGGCTAATACCTTCCCAATGATCACCGGCATGAATATTATAATGTATAAAATTATCATGATGGAGAATTACACGTGGCACGCACCGATTTATTGAATTGTAAATCGTACGATTCAATTCAATTGTCCGCCTCCGTTTTTGATTAATTAGGACGTAACGCATGCCTAAGTGGTACGTCTCCAAATATTTAAATTTTACGCCAAAAAACTCCTCGACAAATTGCATAATATATATATATATATATATATATATATATCATGTCATGACTTGTATGTTTGTGTATATATAAACTTTATATATATACATAAACTCGTTTCATTGAAAACTTGAATTAAGTTTTCTTTTTATCTTTTCCTATCTAAAAATAACTTCACGAAAATATTTAACTTCTAAAATATACTAATACAAAATACTAGTTAGTTATACCTATAAATCCGAACGAAATTCTTATAATTATATCTAAAAATATTAATATATTTATTGATTTAATTTATAGTTAAAAATAGTTTGATAATGATAAATCAATGTCATAAATAATTTTAAATTACTTAAAATGAATAAATTTTGAAAATTATAGGTTTTAGATATTTTTAGAATGATAGAGATATATTCTAATTTGTTGATAGTTGCAATGGCTATCCGATATTCAAACTCGGATTTTATTATAAAGATTTTTTGTATTTAAATTCGAAACTCGAATTTATCTTAATAACTTAACAATAAGAGAAATTAAAAAAATAGAGAACATATATATATATATATATATATATATATCTTTATTTTATAATTTTCATTTTTGAATTTTTTTCTTGTAAATTAAAACGTTAAAAATGCTTACTGACATCCAAATATTGTTCAAAATATTTAGCTTAAGAATATATATTTAGATTTTTTACAACGAATATTTTAATTTTGGAAAATTTTATACTTGAACCTCCGATCTTGTATATAATTAACTATTAAACTATCATGTATTTTCCAGATATTTAGATCTTCATATATACATGTACATATACATATACATATATAATCGGATGCATGAATCATGACTGTTTAAATAGGCAAAATATTAATACAATGTGCTAAAAAAGCATAGAATTGTGGTAGGTGAAGAAATTACCGCACCAGTTGTGTAGATTACGCTGACGTGCGCCATTTGCAATTTTTTTTTTTCTTTCTAACGTATGTCCTATGAATAATATACACAATTAATGGGCATTAATATATTCACATATATATATATAAGATTTATAAATATGATAATTGTCCACCTCAATTCAAAGGGTCAATGCATTATCTTATAGAATTATATAGTAATAACTGTTCCTATTAAGGTGGTTGATGCCGCATCATGCATTAAAATTATGAGACCGTATTTTCTATCACTGCTCTCTCGTTAAATTAATACGGTAATATATAATTTTGTATGAGTCGAATTCAGTTTTAAATTTATTTAAGCACGATTTAAAAAGTCAAATTAATTGTATCATAACTAAATATAAAAGATATAATGGAAAAAAAAAAGAAAATTACATAATCATATATATGCTTTTGGATGCCGCAAGAGACCAGAAGCCTTCTTCTTGGCCGTCGAGAACGGCAAGAGTCTCACCTTCTTCATCTGTCCAAGCATCACGACAATTTTTTTTACATATATATATATATATATATGATTTCAAATTCAATCCATTATATATATATATATATATATAAATGCAAACTTACGGTTGGTCGGCTTATGCATACATTTGCAAAACCTAATCTAAAGCTCATATGAATTCAGAATCTTTTTTTTAACCAAACTAAGCAATTATTTCTATAACAAATTTATTTAAATCGATTCTTAAATAAATTTAAATATATAATATAGTTTTAATTTTTAGTAAAATAATATATAGATGGTTATATTAACTAATTTTTTATATTTTTTAGAATAAAAGTTTAATGGTTCGATCGTGGGATAATATTATTCTAGAATTGTTACTGTTTTCCAAAGTTATGATAAATATCCTTTATTTTTATTTTTTATCGCATGGCAACTAGGAAATTCTTTATATGGTTTTTGTAGTGGAAATATGAGCATATAATTGTGCCGTAAGTTTTTAGGTTTCTTAATTTGTACGGACATTAAGATTCATGAAAACAAGATCGGCTGTTTTTTTTATATATAAACTAAAACTAAATATATGTAAAATTTTATAAATAAATCAAGTAAAGTATATTTAATCCAAAATAATTTAAAAAAAAACGAATCTTTTTTAAAACTTCGTGTGCAATTTTGTCCGAAAAGTAGAGCATTTTTTCCTCTTTACTTTTAGATTACTTTTTTAGGGTTCCAACCTTTTTTTTTTCTTTTCTTGTGAAATATGATAAGTTTTGTTAAATGATTCTCACATTTTCAGCCAACAAATAAATGATACAAAAGTCAAATTGTTTGCTATTCTTAGTGCAAGTAAGTTGAAAAATGTGAAATTATAAAAGTGGTGCCTTTATTTATTTTTTCTCTGATATATTTCATTTCACATTTGAAATGTTAAAAAAACAGCAAAAGAGAATCTTTTTCCCCTTTTTTTAATGGTTCGATTTATTAGTCACAACTGAGTGAAAAAAAATCCGTCATTCTTTTGATTTGAACTAATGGGGTCAAGTTCCGACAATTTAATGATAATTACTTGTGTTAATTGAGTTTAACAATGATAATTCTGATTAATGAGACTTTTCTCTTTTTTTTTAAAAAAAATCCAAATGAAAAAAATCAGAAAATAGTAAAATAGTAGTAGTATTTATTTGAAGTCAAGTTGACAGAATTTGTTTAATGAGTTTTGTCTAGTAATGTCAATCGGGTCAACCCAACCCGAGAGTTTTGAATTAAGATTCGGATCGATCCGATTTTTTTTGTCTAATTAATTGAACCCGAAATCCAATCATATAGACTTCGGACTCGAAATTGGACCGGATCGAATCGGTTAGGCCATTCAATTTATTCTTTGTAAATTTATTTTTTTATTTTAATTTAATTTTTTAAAAAAAATCGGGCTTTTATATTTAAACCCAAAATCTGCTATTTTTCAGGCCAGATCGATCCGAACTTCGGGCCAAACTTAACACCCTAATTTTATCATACAATTTAGATCCAAAAATAAAAGTCATATTACAAACAATTTAAGAGGGTCCATGTGTAATTAGGATAAAGTCCATATCAATTTCATTACTTTGGACAGAAATTCTTATGAAGCCAACTTAGCACATACATACATACATACATACATCAGTAAAGTATAAAATCACCGAACCGGATTCGGTTTACAGGATCAATCGGATACTGCACAAAGCTTCTCTCTGTGTAAATTACAACACCAAGACCAAACATAAACAGAACAAATAGTTATCATCTTGCCAACATCAGCAAACCTCTGCAATCTCCAACTCCTGTGTTTTTTCCTTCCAAGAATCGATCAAATCTCAAAACTTGGGAAAAACCCGGTTTCGAATTCGGTTGGATCAACAAGTTCTTGAACCCGGTTTTCGGATTTTTTTCCCTTCCAAGGTGGTGTTTAACAAGCTCTTACCATTTTCGGGTTCCATATCTTACCAAACCACCCACCTTCACCGCCATTGTTGCCCATCTCGAGAACCCTCTTCTTCTTCTTCCCTCCTGCCCCTCTAGAACCTTCTAGACTCTTCATCGGAACAAGCTGTGGGCTCCCACCGTTCCCAGAGGAAGCCTCCACGATCTTTGTCACCATTTCCAAGACCTCACTCATCTTGGGACGTGCCTTTGGGTTCCTGACCAGGCAACGGTTTGCCACAACGGCCAGTCTCTGGACCGACTTGATCGGGTATTTACCCTCAAGCCTCGGGTCAAGAATGAGCCTGAACTTCTTCGTGTCTGAGAGGTAAGGCCTCACCCATTCAAGAAGCTTCTGCTCCCCCTTTGGTTTGTTCCTGTCCACTGGCCTCCTTCCTGTTATGAGCTCGTATATGAAAACTCCGTAACCCCACACGTCGCTTTTAGAAGTGAGACGTCCCGTCTGGACGTACTCGGGAGCCGCATAGCCCATTGTTCCTACGACCTGTTACCCGATTTCATGATTATCAGATGCTTTTTTTTTTCTCACATGCGAAGTGATGTGAAAGAACAAAACTGCAGCATTTTCTTCAATCTTGCAATGGCTGTTCATCACCATAAACTTTTCTTGAATCCAAGTTCCAAGCCATAGTTTCATTCTTCTTGAATTGTTGGAAAGTAAAAACCTTTGAAGGATTGTCAAAAAGATGTGAACTTACATCAGTAAAAACATGGGTCAGACCTCCAGCAGGACCTAAGCGAGCCAAGCCAAAATCCGAGAGCTTCGCTTTCCAGTCCTCGTCCAAAAGAATGTTCGATGACTTGAAATCGCGGAATATTATCTGCACATTACGAAAGAACAAGACATGAAAAAAATAGGGACAGAACACATAAGAATCTACATACTTCTCGATTCAAACCTCTACCTGAAAGTCCATTTCTTCATGAAGATATGTGAGGCCTCGAGCTGCGTCTTGGGCTATTCTCAATCTGAGATCCCAAGTAAGAACTGCCTCGGACCGAGGGGACAGATGGAATTCAACGCTTCGGTTAGGCATGTACTGATAAACCAAAAGCCGTTGAATTCCACGTTCATCATCTTCTGCGCAATATCCCATCAATCTCACCAAGTTCGGATGCTCAACCACCCCGAGAAAGTTCACTTCCGTCACCCATTCCTTGTGCCCCTGCCAAAACCAGTGCATGGAATCTTGAGTTAGCAATGGATAGTTACAGACAGGATCTCGAGAACAAAGATGGGTCGGATCCTCACCTGCAATCCTCGTTTGCCGAGCTGTTTAACCGCGACTTCAGTTCTCTTTGAAGGGTCTTCTGTGTTCTTGATTGTACCCCTATAGACACAACCAAAACCACCTTCTCCGATCATGACAGACCGGCTAAAGTTCTTTGTGGCGGATTTGAGCTCGGAAATGGTGAACTCTTTGAGGTTACTTGCTCTGGTATTCATGCTGGGGTATGAGTTCCTCCTCCCCATGGATGATTCTGTGCTCGTTCCAGACACATTCTGAGAATTTAACTCAGACCCACTTCTGGCTACTTCACGATCCGAGAAATTGGAGTTCAAAGAAACTAAATTAGGGGTCTTCTGTTCATCTCTCTTGTCCCCACTTGGGAACAAGAAACATTTCATCCTTGAGAAAAGATTGAAACACCCCAGTTTTGTCCACTGCAGGACAGGACATGAAACATGTCAGGATAATCAGTTCATGAGGCTGAAAAATCTGTGACCCACTAAATGAAACACCACACCAAGGCGATTTCGGCGAAAAGACTGTTATGTATATCAGAGTAAACATTCAAAAGGAGGTTCCTTTCCTGTGAATATCAAACCTCCTGAGTCCAAGTGCAGAACTTTCATTCAAATGATCCCAATCTTATATCAAATAATCAAAATAAACGAAACCCAGATTCTCTCTAGAAACCATTCGAGTTCCACAAACCCTAGATTCAAGGAAGAGCGAGGGGAAGCTAAGCCACACGCAATCGAGATTCGACAAAAAGCCCATGTTCTCCGTTCCAAACCAAACATCAGAAACAACGATATAAAGAACACTGATTCGATGAACAAACATAGAACTACCGGAGGAAAACTAAGGAAAAAAACCTCACCTTTGAGAATTCTGGGCGCAGGAAAGATCAAAACTTTACGAAAGTTAAAGAAACTTAATCGCCAAGGGATTCAAAAAGAGTGAATGAAATGAACACGACCCGAGAAGGTGGAAGCGTAAGGAGAGATTCGAGTTCTGTGAAATGATTTGAAGCATAAAGCTTTGGAAGAAGGCTAAGAAGTCGACGGAGAAGAAGAAGAAGAAGAACAAGTCTTCACACGGCAACTGAGTCTTTTACAGATTGCAAGTCAATAAACAAGACAGAATTTTTTTCGCCCCATTTTAAAATTATATTTATTTAGTTGAATTTAACTTTTAAAAAAATACAGAATTTTGACTTATTCAAACACCAACGTATCTTAAAGTCTTGAGAGGAAACCCCTTTCTAATCTGAAAGTTTGATTTTTAGAAAGCGTTGGCCCACGAATTTTCATTTTATTTTTTCGTTCGTCTCATATAATTTCAAAGTTATTTTCTAATCTTAAGCGATGACACAAAATTGAACTCTTTACTAATCAAAATAAAGAATGATAAATTTGTATAACCAAAGGATGTTTCTTTCAAAATTTCATTTAAAATGTGTTTTAAAAGATAATTATTTTTGATAATTTTTTTATTAAGATTTTAAGTTTTTACATCGGCATGAAAATGGCTATGTTTTATTAGGTGAATATATCTTAAGTGAACAACTAATGGTTAATGACGACAAGATTATCAAATTAGTTAAGGATTAGAGGGTGATAACGAAACGGTAAATTAATTAATGAAGGGTAATTAAGGCGCATGCATCGAGATAAGATTTTCCCAAATCCATCTTGGAATTCTGATTTCATAAATCCTCTCGCAAATTTCGCTTATTCCTTAAAATCTTGGGAGCCTCAACGATTCATTCATGCTCATGGCGTTATCATTGTCAACAAAGCGAAAGTAACGCATGTCACTACACAACCATACATACATACACTGATACACACACATATCTCTAAAATTCGATAAAATTGAGTTTCAAAATATTTATAGTTTTAGATTATTTTCCATATTTTTAAATATTTGTCATTCTATATTTACAAGATATTTTTTTATAATACTTTTTAATTTTATATCTATCAAATTTTAATAAATTATTAATGATAATATTGTTTTTATCTTATTTATTTGAATATATGTGACTTTTTCTTTTTTCTTTTTAAATATGAAATAATCTAAAACAATAAATATTTTGAAACGAAAAGGAGTATTAGTTATAAAATTATGACAGAAAACCTATATATAATTTTTTTTTTCAGAGTTCTTCCGCATATTATATTAGTGTAACGAAAATCAAATATTGATGAATGCGGTGTCAGTCCGGTCAAGTCAAAGAATGAAACGGGGTCATATCCACTTAAACAAAGTCTTCAATCTTGATTATTATTAATTTATTACACATTAATTTGATTATTTTCGTTTTCGTTTTCCTAATGAATTATGAGTGAGAAAAACAATTTATATGATCCACAATCATTTCTCTAAGACAACGTTTAACAAATATACTGATATCTATACAAATTTAGCAATTATGGATGGTAATTATATATATATATATATATATATATATGTGTGTGTGTGTGTGTGTAGGTTTATCTTGCTTTTGAGGAATATAATCGAATTCATAAATTTTATAACAAGCAAATAGGTTGTGGGGTGACGATATATATGCAACACATACACACACAAAAAACAAGTATATATCGATGCAAACAGAATAATCATACTCCATATGTATATATATGTATGTGTTTCTCTTGTCATCAAATTAATAAATTTCATATATACAAATATATAACCATGCAAAACATAAAACAATCATAATAAATGCCGTTATGAAGCTTAGGATCCATACGAAACAAAAACATAAACCGGTCTATTATTATATATATTCACATCGTAACATATTATTATTCATCGGGTACAATTCCGTCCCAACCCAAACAGGCTTCTCCGTTTAACATGGAGCTTATTGGGCTATATACAAGGAGCCCACAATAATATTTTTTTTAACAAATTCATATATATATATAGTTTTTTTTGGTTTTATATATATATATATATATAGTTTGAAATGCCAAACTATATACAAGAGTATTATATTACATTTGTACGCATATATGCATAGGAAATTGCTAATTGTTCAGTTTAGGTCACAAACTTGAGTCTCACGAAAAGATTAACCGTAATGAACGCCATCGAACCGGTCGGACCGAAATGTAACATTACACTAAAAAAATACAAGTGGTTGGTTACCAGCGAAAAACCAGATGCCACGAGGGCATGAAATAAAATCCAAGAGCCGGTGGGTCTATATCGGACGGCTGATAATCCATCCTCAGGTTTATGTTGCTTGAAGATCCGACGGTTCTCGTTCTCTCGTTTCCTTAAAGAGAGACAGAGAGGCAATGGGACGAGGCACCGCCTTGTCCGTTGGGGGGGATGAATCCGTCGCCTTGGGTTTCTCACACTTTCAACCACTTCTACACCTGTATATATACACACATATCTATATAATATATATATGTGTGTGTGTGTATGTGTATAGAACTCGAGAGTGATATACATCATTGCATGCATGATAAGATGCAACAGTTTGGTTACGTGATACGTACCACCATCTTATGAGCTGTACGCCATAAATATTGACATACATATATACATATCATATATATATATATGTATATATTTATCTACGTAATTCACGTTTCTAATGTTATAATATGGCATATGGTATACCGCACATATGCATATATCATATATGTATATAATATGTGTACTTTGAGATTTTGATCTTCAACAATGACCCGTCAAATAGTGAAATCCAGCATGGCAAATCGGCTTGGAATATAGATAAGATAATTAATCCACTAAATTAGCTGTCTAATTAGGAGGCTTAAATCACGTTTCCCACTTAAATTCCAAGTCATTCATCGATCCATCCGTCCACTATGATTATAAAAAAAAACATGTAAAAGATGAATTTATTTATTCCGCTATTATATTCATGTGCTCATGCAATTTACAAGAATTGTGAATGGAAAGCGTAATAATATTTTCATGAATAGAAATATTATACTTCAATATGAATTCTGCATATGATATGATGCATACTATATATACGTATTACCAAAGTTACACAATTTGGACATCTTAACCACAACGATCAAACCGTCTACTAATCACAATTTGTCAACTCCAACGAATATTACAATAATGAGATTCCATTAAAAATTTTAAAGATATATACATATATATATATATGTATGCATGTGTATGTGCACATTAATAACTAAATGTGGATTGCACTTTGTCCAAGAATCTTATCTCATTACTCTTCTTTTCTTTTTCCCTCTTCAGATCTTATCCTACTTCATATTGATTAAACCGTGGGGCCCTCAAGCTCCACGACTTCAAAAAAGGGCATATAATATAAGTCCATTTTATTCTTTATATATATATATATATATATTTTAAGTGATTTTGTATTGAATTGTGTATACTTAAATTGCAAAGTGTAGTATTATAAGATACTTCCTTAAAATTGCCAACTAAAAGAAAATAATCGATCAACTGAAATTGATACCATATATATAAGAGATCAATTCAAAAGTCAACATATAATAAAACGTAAAAATTAATCATTCAATAGTAGTGGACGCATTTTTCATCTTTGATATCCATCACCTCCATCATCATCCAATTCAACACTTTATAATATTATATAACGGAATTTTTGAAAATCCAAGGTAATGAATTAGCGCACTCACTAAATTAAATAACCAAAAAAAAAAAAATCAAAATCGGTCAAAAGATCAAAACAATTATTATATAATACATATATATATATATATGGTGATTAAAATGGTTCCACTATAAAAGCGGACCTGTGTATGTAAATTATTATCTAAAGTCGACGAATGATTGAGTGCCATACCGAAAATTAGGGTTTTGAATTAATAAAATGGTTAATAAAGTCCATCGAGAGAGATGCATGTTCGTACCGTTTCGTATGTCAAAGATCCAAAAGGACAGCATGGCCTCAGATATCACTGTTTTTTTTTTTATTTATTTATTGCCTTTTTATTTATTTGTATTTATTTATTTTATTAAAACATGCAAAGATTTTACGGTCGATTTTGTCACTTGAACATAAAAATAACTCAGCCTTAATTAAAACCGTATATATATGTTTTGCCACGTCAAACATGAGCACGTAACATGTTACCAACTGAGATTATTACATGAAATTATAAAGTTAATTTGAACGTTGTATTATGTATTTAGTATTTACGGATAACCCCATCTTTATACATACACAAAAAAAAAACATTGTCATTGGGACCATATACGTAATAACGCATACATATACGTACATATTACCGCCCATAACATCCGTACCTTCGAGCATATCTATGTCTATATATATATATATATATGTATATGTTATGTACTTCTCATTTCATCACACACAAGCCCCAACATCTCTCTCTCTGTTTTTTTTTTTTTTGACACAGACATGAAGAAGGTGGCAAAAGCATGGAAGCAAATATCGCGAAGAGTAGCAATCCCATGCGGCGACTGTATACGGACGTGCCGGTGCTCCCTCCGGCTAATTTCGCCGGCGTCCTCCGACCAAACGACTCATGGGATTCCAAGAGATGTCCCGAAGGGACATGTGGTGGTCTACGTAGGGAAA